TTGCTTAGACTGCCACCAAACTGGTTCCATTTGAAAATTTATTTATTCTCAATACCTTGATTCTTACATATTCTCTGACAGCCAAGAATTTTCAGAACTCACCTTTGCCCAGACTACACTAGAGTTTCTAAGAGACACACTGAAAATTGTCACCATAATGCTCACAGCTTCAGAGGGGGAGGCAGCTGTGCCTTCACGGGTAAAGGAGGTTTTTGTTCCAGTCTCTCTAACACTGTGGGTGGGCTGCTGTACCACTGCTGACAGTAGTAACTTGCAGCATCTTCTGCCTGGATGCTGCTGATGGTCAGAGAGTAATCTGTCCCTGAGCCACTGCCACTGAACCATCCAGAGATCCCATAGGCCAGGTTGGAAGTACCATACATAAGGAGCTTTGGGCAAGCTCCTGGCTTCTCTTGGTACCAATGTAGCCTATTTGTGTTCACAGTTGAGCTGTCTTTACAGTTGATGGTGACTCTCTCTCCTGGGGAAAATGCCATGGAAGCTGGAGACTAGGTCAGCACAATTCCTCTACTGGATCCTGGGATCACATAGGAGTTGGATATAGGGGAGAGATAAATTAATAGAAAAAGACAAGAATATCTTCATATTGGCCAATATATAAGGACCATTGAGTCAATTCAGACTCATAATGACCCAATACCCAACAGAAAATAAAACTGCCCAGTCCAGGGCCAGTTTCACAATTGTTGTTACACTGGAGCCAATTGCTGCTCCCATGATATTAATCCATCTTATTGGGAGCCTTCCTCTTTCTTGCTAATCCTTCACATTACCAAGGATACTATCCTTCTATAGGGAATGGTGCTTTCTGATAATGTATCTGAATTATGAGAGACAAAATCTTTCCATCCTTCCTTTAAAGAACATTCTGGGTTTACTTCTTCCAACACAGATTTGTTTGTTCTTCTGACTGTCCATGGTACTTTTAAAATGCTTCTCTAACCCTCAAACTCAAATATGTCAATTCTTCTACTGTCTTCCTTAGTCATTGTCCAACTTTCACATGCATATAAGGCTATTGAAAATACCATGACTTGCGTCATGTGTACTTTAGTCTTCAAACTAATACCTTTGCTCATGAAAATTTCAAGGAGGACTTTATCTCACAGTACCACACCAGGACTCCATTATTCATTAGAGAGATGCAAATCAGAACAATAGTGAGATGTCTTGTCACACCAGCAGTCATAGGAAGTTCAAAGAAGCAGAGGACAACAAATGCTAGTGAAGGTGTGGAGAGACTGGGGTCCTCCTACATTTCTGGTGGGATTGAAAATGGCTCAACCCATCTGGAAAACTTTATTGCACTTCCTCAGAAAGTTCAAAGTAGAAAATAGTAATATTCTAGAAATTCCTCTACTCAGTATATATCCACAAAAAATATACATCAAAACACAAGTGATTTATGCACAACAATGCTCATCATTGCACTATTGACAACAGCAAAAGAGATGGAGACAACCTAAGAGATCATCAATGGAAGAATGAATAAACAAACTCTGGTACATATACATAATGGACTACTATGCTACCTTGAAGAATCACGACGAAGCTGAAAAACATATCATAACATGCGTGAACCTTGTGGTCATTGTTGTTAAGTGCTGTCCAGTAGATTCTGACCCGTAGTGACCCTGTATAGGGTTTCCGAAGAGCAGCTGGTGAGCTTGAGCCACCAACCTTGCAGTTCAAAAGGCTTTGCAGTCTGGCATATTTAGCCACAGTGCCACTTATGTTGAGCGAAATTAGTCAGGCACAAAAGGACAACTATTGCATAAGACCATTGTTTTAAAAGCTTAAGTAAAGATTTCCGTGATAAAACAATACTTTCTTCATGGTTAACCAGGGTTAGAAAGAGGGGACAGAATCTCACAGATGATGGAATAGATGCTTGATAGCTCAGGGGAAGGAGAGGACAATAAAAAGGAGAGGGAGGGCAATGCACAAGAAGGGGAGGGGTAACTGAAGGAGGATTATAAGGGAAGGCTTGGGAGGTATGCATGGGCTAAATGGGATGGAGGCAGAGAATGATGTAAAAACTTGGAATGACAGGGCTCTATCTGTAAGGACTGAGACAGAGTCTGAATGGGTAAAGGAAGGAAAATAATGTTAAAATGTGGCTGTTTTGTGGATGTTGGTCTCCCATCTACTACTGTAATGTAGACATTTAAGTGGAATAGAAAGGAATATTAGGAAATATGATCACAGAAAGCTTAGAATCCATCTTCTTCCTTTAATTGTTTGAATTATCTAAAAGGAAACTAGGATGTGCCCAGGGAAATAGGTTTCTTGTTAAGTCTTTGGGGAGTATGAGGCCTTAGGTGGAATACTGAGAACCACCCAGAACCTTCTGACATGGGACATTCCCAACTGAAAAGACCTGCTGAGCAACCCAGAACTACTAAAGGAACAAAAGACACTTCCTGAAAGAAACCAGCAGGAAGGGGGCACAGACTGTTTGGCTGTCACAATATCAAGCAGCAAGCTGTTTGCCTTGGAGTCATTGAGGCAAGAAAGTCAGCCCTTCAGGGTAAACTCCTTTCTAGAGAATAATATGCTCTCTGGTGACCACCCTGATCAACTTGTGAGTGGAACTGGGAAAATATAGCAATGAAGACATTGACTGAGTGTGACCATGCTCCATAGACACCTGATGACCTTGAGATGAGACAGAGAAGAAGGGCTGGCAAGGAGACGTGTGAGCTCCCAAACCCAAGGACACTGACCTAGGAACTCAGGGTTAGAGTTAAGAGTGAAGCAGGCAGCCAGTCTGAGGCAGGGGGAGGCAAAAGAGAACTCTCAAACTTGCACATTTTACCCATTTGACCTAGCTTGGATGACATGCTGACTGGTACTTGATCAGATGAAGATAAATACATTGGATACAGGGAGCAAGCATAAATTGCTACAACTTGATGAACTGGACCTTTGCTTATGGAAAAAGTTTCCCAAAATTCCAACAGAAAGAAAAGGATTCTTCCTATCAAGGATCAAGCTTGCCTCCCCAGTACACTGGGCTGATAGGGATGGCAACTTATACTTCGGCTATCAAAACTGGGTGTTGGGGGGAGCTACAAAGGCACTGAGTAGCTGGCTTATAAGCTTTTTTGAGGGTATTAAGTGTCAGAAAGTGGTGGGTAAGAGAATCCCCACTGAACAGTTTTCCTCTTTTCCAGATGTGTCTGGTAATGGCAGTGATAGGATTTTATGATTCAATTGTGACTAATTGTTATCAGGACTAAAGGCAATTTTCACAACTGTATATAGAGGAGGTGTAATTAAAAGGGGGGAAGCAGTTAATTGGTCATTTTAGAAAGAGAGGACCATAGGATCATCAAAAGGGAAGAACATGAGAGGAGCCAGCGATTCTAACCAGAAAAGCAGTGACAACAGAGATGGTGGCCGAGGCCATGGCATACAGAGATAGAGCAGCCAAGGACTGCAGACCAGTGGGCTGAGAAAGGCAGTGTGCCTGTGGGCAGGAGGCTGACTTTGGAAGTTTGCCATTTGAACATTTAAATGAATATATGTTTTCAATGTCGTATATGTACATAAAAAAAAAAAAAAAAACATTCTCCACCCTCTTTTTCCTAAACCTATCAGAAAAAAGCCATTTGCTGGAAGATTACAAAGACTATGGAGTCTTTGTTTGGTGCTATAGGACTGCTAACTACAAGGTTAGTGGTTCAAAGCCACCACTCACACTTCACAAACTCTATAAAGGGTCCTTTTCAGTCAGGACCAACTTAACATCAATAAATGATGAAGAGACACAATAAGTAATCCATTACAATGAATTTACAAATGTTCCTCCTCATGGATTTCTCACTTTGACACATTGAAAAATATCTAATCCCCAATATTAAAGTATAATTTTCAGATTTCTATTTTATTTTCCATTCGGTTATGGCATGTATTAAAGAAACATATCCATAATATAGAAATTAATTTCAGAAAAGATTCCATATATTAAGACAAATGTCATACATATAACATAAAAGGAAATATATTTCTGGAGTGAAAATGAAACACAATCATAAAGGCCTCTCTTGTTTTAAATAAAAACAAAAGCTAAAACCAAGCCTACCACACTAAATCAATAAATAATATGATAAAAATACAAAGTTATACACTGAGAAGTTTGACAACAAGATTATACTTTGGAACCATTAACTTGGTCCTTAGTCACAGTGACAGGTAGGAACCTGAGGATGTGGCAGAGCCCTGGGAGGCAGGACATGGGGAATAGATATTGAGGGTGGGATGCCTGCCATGCGAGGAACATATCATGTGACACATGCAGAGCAGAAAGTAGATAGATGTGAAAAGATGGGCAGGGAAATGGTAATGAGGTGGTATAATTCAGTTATCAAGGTGGAAGAAGGTAGTACTATTTCAGCAGAAAGAGTCCATGCCTGAAAATCTTATGTTATTTCACTCTTCTCTTTCTACAATTATATAATTTTCAAATTTCCACAAACAGGTTAGCACCCAATTTTTCTGAGTCCTGTAAACATGATCAACTAATACTGCTCATGATTTGACAAGTCTGAGAACCTAGAGGAGATCCCAGGTTCTTATCCTCCTACTGCTTGGGGTTATACACTATAGAAAATTTTTCTTTGATACTCAGTAATAATTTTATTTATAGTTCTTGGAAAACTTCTAAGTGCTTCATTAAAGATGTTTCTTCTCTGGCTTCTGGGTCCTAGGCAGCTCAGGCAATGTCTCAGAGTCAGAAGATGCTGCGTTTTATTTTTGTCAGCGAAATGGAACTACATGTTTCACAGAGAAAGTACCACAATGAAAGTTTGCCAATACTGGTCTGGATGGTTTTCTTAGAGTTTCAATTGCTATGAATAATTCTATGTTATTAAGTTCTGATATCCTTTGGGATTTGTGTTTGTTTTCTTTTGCTGTTTCTTTTTTGTTAGATTTGGGTGGGGGAGGGTTTGGTCTCTATTAAGTCTGCATCTCCCTCTTTATTCCTGTAAATCCAGGTGTTCCTCTGCTGCCTGTGCTAATGTTGCTGTTAGAAGGTTTCAACGTTCTGCAAGGAAGTCACTGCATGCAAATAGAACAAGTATTAGTGGACCAAATGCACATGTCCATCAGGGAAAGTCAGGTTTTCATTGAGTGCCCAACCTCAGATGTTCCTCCTTGCCCAGAATCTGTACATTTCATCTAGTCTCCTGACCCTTTACCCCATATTTTTGCCAGGTGTCTTTTCCTCATCACTCATATTGACCACACAGAATTTGCATTAAATGTTGTTGTGTGATATTTCAAACACGTCTCATATTTACTAATTTAAGGATCTGTAGGGCCAGATCCTACTCAAACTCCCTCTGAGTTCCTAAATATTTTGTAATGTAAAGAGCTACTAGAACTAGGGGACAGTGCCTTAAATTTAGAGATTCAGAAAATCAGAGGAACCATGAATCTATATATGATGCTTATAGAAATAATAAATAATTGCTTAATTTTCATAAAGGAAAACCTTCCTAAATATAGAGTCACTAAAGAGGAAATATATATATTTCTGGAACAAGACCGCCCTTCAATGTGAAGTTTTACTCAATGTTTCTTCATTTTGTCTGTGATTCTTGGAGAATCTTCAGCTGGGTTGACCTACCAGGATAGTTCTGAGTTACCCTTACCATGGGTTTTGAGTTTTCCTATTTTGTAAGATTCACTCACTCCCCAGGACAGTAATTGTTTCTCTATACCAGTTAGCCTTGTCTCTTCTATTCACAAACTTTAGTATACAGTTTAAATCTCACAAGTACTAGCAACTTCACATAAGCAATACTCACAAATCATGGACCTCTGACCTCATGAATAGAAAAGATGCTGGGAACTGGTAATTTTCAATGCTATTTTTCTTAAATGCTGACAAATATGTTGTAACTCACAGCAAACCTCTATAATGTTTCCAAGGACTGATTGGTTGGTTTGTCCCGCCAATCTTGTGGTAAGCACTCCAGAGATTACTTCATGAGGACTGCTAAGGCTTAATTGTTGTGGTTGTTAAGTGTTGTCATGTTGGTTGCAACCCCTGGAGAACCTGTATAGGGTTTTTGAGGAAGAGCTGGTGAGACTGAACTGCTGACCTTGTAGCTCAAACCAACTTTGCAGGCCAGCACATTAACCAACAGCATCAAAAGGTACACAGTAAAGGGATGTTAGTCCTTTGCTATCTATGGGTTTTACCACATTAAAATAAGAAAGAAAAAATAAATAGTAGCTTTAGATGAGTGACTAAGTCTGTAAAAGAGGAATTCGTCTGGACAAATTGTAACATCATTAGTGTTATCGTTTTGGTTAACTTGGTTGGTTTCTACAAGGTTTCAAATTTTATCAAGTTATAAAAATTCGATGTTAACTTTCCTACCACAAAATGAGTTGGCTTCGTTTAGCAGTCCTTCATACAGACAGGATCCTGGACTTGTATGTTTGCTACTCCATCACATTCTGTTGATGGCAGGCTGACGTCAATCCTCTTCTGTATTGAATAGAATCTGAAGAAACAATCTACCTAAAGGTTAATTCTCTATTTGAAGAAATAGTATCACACCTGCACCATTTCCTTCATTGCACAGACTGCCACCAAAATGGTTCCGTTTGAAAATTTATTGATTCCCACTACCATATGTATCCTTAGATAGTTAAGAATCTTCAACAGTTACCTAAGCCCAGGCTCCACTTGAGTCTCTGTGAGACACACTGAGAATGCTGACCCTGAGGCTTACGGTTTCTAAGGGGGGAACAGCTGTGACCTCAGGGGTGAAGGAGGTTTTTGTTCCAGTCTTTAACACAGTGGGTGAAGGTCTGTTCCAAGCCTTACAATAGTAGCTTGCAGCGTCTTCTGCCTGGATGCTGCTGATGGTGAGAGAGTAATCTGTCCCTGAGCCACTGCCCCTGAACCGGCCAGGGGTCCCAGAGGCCAGATTGGATGTTTGATAAATAAGGAGATTTGGCTCCTGGCTTCTGTTGATACCATTGTAAACTGTGACTGTTTACAGCTGAGCTGGCCTTGCAGTTGATGGTGACTGTCCCTCCTGGGGAAATGGCCATGGAAGCTGGAGACTGAGTCAGCACAATTTCTCCACTGGATCCTGTGACCATATGGGAGATGGATACAGGGGTGAGAGAAATTAGTAGAAAAAGATACACAAGAATATCTTCATACTGTCCAATATTTAGATCTACTATGAGATTCAAATTTTAAAAATCAAGCCTTACACTCAAAATCTGAGGAGGAAGTGGATCATAAATTCAAAGATTTTTCTCTTTTTTACCTGTAACACTGAGCAGCAGGAAAGTGACCATTAGCAAATCCATTATGCTGACAGAGCCCTGTGACAGGCTAAACACATGTCTTCTCATAATGAATGTCCTTAAATGACATTTTCTGTGGTCTCTCGGGGAAAATATATGCAAACTAACAGGGTGCAGGCTAACTTCCTGACTTATAAACCTGTGGGATACTTGTGCTTACTTTTACTAGTTCAGTTAGTGTGGAGAGTGAAGATGCTTGGTGACTTAACTGGGTGGAACATATACCTGCTCTGGGCATTGTGTAGAGTCCTGGTGTGGTTCTGTAGCTAAGCACTAGCTTAATAATTGCAAGATTTGTGGTTCAAACCCACCCCCTGTCTGTACAGCATCACTATGTGTCTGAACTAACTCCATAACACTTAACAACAAAAACAATTGGCATTATCTGTGTTCCTGCCAAATGGTTGAATTTGACTTTTTCAACAAAGAAAACTGTAAATGTGCTCTGTGATCAGAATCTGCTAAGGGGTGACCATAAACAAAAGTCACTCAGAAATCCCCAACCTTCAGGAAATCTATCTCCACTTCTCTGAGAACTTCCCTCCAACAAGTTCTCCTCAAAGTGGGGTCTGACACCACAATGTATTGTGAAAAATAACCTCTCATTGTGTGATCTTGGAAGTTAGATATTCTCAATGAAGAGAAGACCCAAAAGATATGCACTTGGAACATCCAGACAAAGGAAACCACAGGTAAGATAGGATACAGTAAGCTGTTCCATCTGAAAATAGAGGATGCATAGCTACAGTTTATTATTGTTGTTGTTAAGTGAAGAGAATTCTGAGTCACAGTGACCTTGTATAGGGTTTCCAAAGAGTGATTGGTTAGATTGAACCAATGATCTTATGGTTCAAATAGACCTTGTAGTCGAGTGCTTATCCTACATTGCCACAGCAGGACTCAGCTGTATTCACAACCTTAATTTCTTTACAACTCCACCTGTGTTGTTTTATAAGGACCCTGGATTGAGGAGCTGGAATAGAGACTCATAAGAAATAACTAAACATCAAAGTCCTGGTTATTTTAGGAATATTCTGTTTCTGAGATGTTTAGGGGAAAATTCAGGTTATTTCAGTGCAATGTTGAAGAATAGCTTTCAAAAAACAATGAGACAAATGTAAAAGGAGAGAATTTTGTAAGAATTTGGCAGGTCAAGATTTAGAAATGTCTAATTTATTCTTACCAAAAATTTAGATTCTATCCTTCAATTCATAGATGATATCTAGGGATAATTGTTGTTGTTGTTAATTG